ATCAGGCTTGAGAACCAACGCTGAAGGAACTGACACGGTAGAGGAACACGCTTAAAAACCAATGTTGGGGATACGACGAGTGGGGTTTGGGTCGATCTTTCTTTGGCATGCCTCCTGAAGTAAAAGATACCGGGTCATGAATTGATACAAGCTGTGTATCGTAAAAAGGAATGATCAATATGTGAAAATGAGGCATTGCAGAACAAGGTAGTTTGGCTACTACACTCGTGTCATGCACGGATTTATCGGTGAAATTCTCAGCTATCTTAGTTGTGTTCAGTGTTCTTCAAATTTGTTCGTTTCGGAAGGGCCGTCGGTCGAATATGAGACGATTTTATTGGTGTACTGATGGCTTGTAACCCAAAGGTTGGAAGTAAATGGCCACGCTTGGCTGTGTATGTGACCTGCTAGTAGACACCCAACTTCGCTTTTCGTAGCATGTGATCAAGAGACTCGGAAACTAGCTCTTCTCTCCCACGAAATCATGTCGTTGAAATTGGCAGGACCAGATGGTTGGTTCATCCAGAACACAACTAGAACGTGGGGTGTTGGTTGCCAGACGAATCCAGAACATCAGCTTGCTGTGCACTAGCCACTGTCACAGCCGTCAGCCACGAGGAAGATAGTGGCGCTAGAAATGCCATCTCCGCAGCCGAAACCTTGCAGTGGCCGGCGGCGTGGCCGCCCTTCAGTACTTTGTTAGGGTGACCATGCTCAAATCTTCCCGACGACTCGTTACGTAGCGCGCCACCCGACCCCAAGGTGAATAGATCTCTCTTTCAACATCACATGTAAGATAGTGTCTGTCTCCGTCCAGTGGGATTTCATCGGAGAATATCAGAAAATGCCATCAGAGTAACGACTCTACGCGATCTAGGGCCTGGTGACATGCCAGTCCTGCGGTCGCAGCTGCGGCTGAATTGAGTGAGAAATTCAGCATTCTGCGCCGGCGGCCACCATCTTATCATGGTTCGTTAGCGACATACAGGAATCAGCGCCTAAACATTTCACATTTAGCAACCAAGACCAGCACCTAGGGAGTGAGAAGCACCCTATTTGGGCTCGTCCAGGCTTTAGATAGGGAGATGTCTCGAGTGTCTAGTTGTTGTACACTCTACCGTCGCGTCTGCCGTCTGGGAGAAATTGGGTGAGCTTGGGAGCGTCTGGAGATAAGTGGAAACGAGTTGGTGTGTTGATCGAACGTGGTGAAGATCCCCCAGCCGTGTGAAGCGAGTGGGGCCAAGGGTTCGCTTCTCCTAGTTCTTATCTCGCTCTTGATGTGGTAGGATATTCCAGCCATCGTCTTATCAGGGACCAGCCGACCAAGAAGTACCGGTGGTTGCAGGGCAAAAGTTTGGTCTGGGAATGGTTCCGAGCCCCAGGTGATACCGAAGATATGGAATGCTAATTAGCACGCGAGCTGTTCAAGACCCAGACAAGCGGACAATAATGGCATTTGCGAGGCAACGTCACGATTTATTAGATGAAATTTTTTTTTTGGTTCACGAGCATGTAATTGACCTTGACATCAATTTGGGTCCAATGAAAGATCTATTCTCTCCAAGTTCTCGCAGGGTGCTGGCCTTGTGGCCTTGCGACTCTGGTGTGAGACTGCCACGTCAATTTACCGCTGACGAGGACAGGGAGGAAAGATCCTGAAAAAAGACGAGCCAAGTGATGCGAAGCAATTTCTCTAGTTCATCATGTTGGTTGTCTGGTATCTTGAGGCTGCGTGAGGCGATCGATATCATGCCGCGAGTCGCACATTTTGGTGGTTGACTCGATGAGATCGAGTAATGGATAACATGCGGGGTTTGGGCGCCATCTATGATAAGCTACCCCTGTCAGAGGAGCTAAGTTATCATACATAGCCGCACCGTCCCATGCCGGACAGGCATCATGGTGCGTCGTTGATGAGCGGGAGCCGTTCCTCGTCGCCGTACTAACGCGGTGCCACCTCCAACGCCCCTGATAAGAACATTTTCTCTTCTGGGAGGAACCAATGAGAGCCGCGGAATGCGTCCAAAGGACCAGAGTTTTTATGGTTTCCGGTGCCAGGGCTTCGTCCTCTTACTCGATCAGATTTGACGTCGTTGTCGACTTGGGAGCATTTCAATTTGCTGCAATCACGGCGAGACCGGCAGCACCCTTGTCTGAAAGCGGTTCGTAGCGTCGTCTTGTCTTGCGTTCTTGGGCTTGTCACCCCCCCGTCTGCATTCCGGTTCCCCAATCGTCTCCTCCTCCTTTGCCCAGCGCCAGCGGGATGGAAAAGATGGAGGCGACGACCTTGAAGAGCTTGTCACGCTTGTCCCATGTGGGGGTTTGTCGCAGCGATTTCCGGGTCCATCAGTCGATAATCACTGACACCAAGGTACCGCCGACTCCTTTTCGTGGAACTGGCGAGGTCTTTTATCAGCCTCTCCATATCCAGAGCGACACCGGCCCAGCATGTGAATAAATATCAGTCGACATCTCCTCCATCATCTCGACCTCGCTCCTTTGTCTGAGAGAGATCAGCTGGAGTTTCCCACCCTCAACCAAACGACCAGACTTGACTGCCTTGGTATCGCCACTTCTTTTGGGGTGTCATCCTGCAGATCACGACCCGTGTCACCCTGCAGCCCAGTCTTTCGGTTCCCCATCTCGTCCTCACGTGCATATCGTCATCGCAACCTGTGCCGGTCCGTGTACTGGTGTTTCGACAACTCGCCGAATCGAAATCATCCGAAAGTCAGCACATTGTCCCGGACTTCACCCCTCGATACGTCTTGCCAAAGTCCATTTCCGTCAGAGAGAGTCGCCAAAATGGACATGGATACTGCAACTACTACCGCTCGCCCGGAAAAGGCCCATGGCTCAAGACTGGGTTACTTGGCGGACAAGATCGCTGTCAAATCAGAGCCTGGGTTGACCAGCGCTCAGCTGATGGTAAGATCTGCCAGACGAAAAATTCTTGAGCCATCCGGAATCGTTCTAACAGTCTCACTTTACAGCTGACGAACCATGATCTCAAACCGTGAGTAATGCCACTGCAAAAAGCGCACGCGACACCTGCAAGAGCATGGTGACTGACCTCCAGACAGAGTTGAACCCGAGAGACGGCAATGGGGACCTTGGAACTTCGTCGCTTTCTGGGTCGCTGACTCCTTCAACGTCAACACATGGATGATTTCGTCCTCCATGATTGTGGGTGGTCTTTCTTGGTGGCAGTCTTGGCTCTGTGTCTGGATCGGCTACGCCATTGCTGGATGCTTCATCTGCATGACTGGCCGCATCGGTGCAGTGTACCATATTGGTTTCCCCGTCGTCAACAGATCATCTTTCGGAATCTGGGGAAGTTTGTGGCCTGTTTTCAACCGTGCCGCCATGGGTAAGCCCGATGCCCTCTTCCCAATGTTGAGCGTCACTGATCAACCCCAGCTTGTGTTTGGTACGGTGTCCAGGCCTATATCGGCGGCCACTGCGTTTACCTGATGATCCGTTCCATCTGGAAGTCTTGGGTGAGTAGCAATGCCTCTGGAATGCCTAAGAAGCTTCGAATCTGATGCAAACCAGGACCGAGAGACGATTCCGAACACTTTCTCTGCATCTTCCGGCACTACTACCGCTGACTGGGTGTCTTTCTTCCTCTTCTGGGTGCTGTCGTTGCCCGCCATTTGGTTTCCCGTTCACAAGATCCGACACCTGTTCACAGTCAAGTCGTACATCGTCCCATGCGCTGGAATCGCCTTCATGATCTGGGCCATTGTCCGCGCCGGCGGCATCGGTCCGATCGTTCGTCAGCCCGCAAAGCTTCACGGCAGCGACTTGGCCTGGGAATTCGTCAAGGGCGTCATGTCGTCCATCGCCAACTTCGCGACCCTCATCGTCAACGATCCCGATTTCTCCCGTTTTTCCAAGAAGCCGAACGATGCTCTCTGGTCTCAGCTCTTCACGATTCCCATCGGCTTTGCGTTCACCTCGTTCATCGGCATCATGGTGTCTTCTTCCTCGGCAGTCATCTACGGTGAGGAGATTTGGGACCCCCTCAAGCTCCTCGAGAGATTCATCGACGATGGCGGTTCCGCTCAGCGATTCGGTGTGTTCGTCATCGCTTTTGCATTCGCTCTTGCCCAACTCGGAACCAACATTGCCGCCAACTCCGTTTCCGCAGGTACCGATATGACAGCTCTGCTGCCCCGGTACTTGAGCATTCGCCGCGGTGGATACATTTGCGCCGCAATCGGTCTGGCCATGTGCCCGTACACCCTGCTCACAGATTCCAACAAATTCACTACCTACCTTTCGGCGTACAGCGTCTTCCTGAGCTCCATCGCAGGTGTCATGTGCTCTGACTACTACGTCGTCAGAAAGGGGTACCTCGAAATCAGAGAGCTGTACGATGCGCGCAAGACCGGCCCGTACTTCTTCACCTACGGCTTCCACTGGCGCGGGTACGCCGCCTACATTGCCGGAATCTTGCCCAATGTGGTTGGATTCGTCGGTGCGATTGGCGTCGATGTCCCTGTTGGCGCGACATACATCTACAATCTCAACTTCTTCGCTGGGTTCATCGTTTCTGGTGGCGTGTACTGGGGTCTCTGCAAGATCTCTCCTATCCCCGCTACTAGCGACAAGTGGATGGAGGTCGGAGAGGAGATTGATGACATCCGCGTCGCATACGACGCTAGTAGTAGCCAGGACTACGATGAGGAGAGAGTTCTTGGCCCCTCCAAGGGCATTGACGATGGAGCTAAGCATGTTTGAAAAGGAGTAAAGGGTTTAAGCAGGGGTCGGTGGTTTGGATTTGGATGATACCATTGTTGTGCAAAAAGGGGGTGCAAAATTGCGATTTCTTGAGCGTATGATTGAAGCAATGAATACTAGATGTTTCTACTGAACTAACTACCTTGCAAACACTTCGTGATATGAGTGAGATGAGAGAATCTTTCGCCCTTAGACCCGATAGACTGTAAATCCTTGCACAGAAAGCACCGAAGCGGTTGTCCCCCAACAACCCTCTACCTCACTCCCCAAATCCTCTTCTTTGCTTTGAACCCCGCTGGAAGGAGCTTAGACAACAACAGCGGGAGTTCAATCTCGAAGAGGCGCATAGAAGTGATCGCATCCCCGAAACGGGGCGACGCCGTGATTACAGCAACGGGTATCGCCAACAAGAGACCTACGGCTGATGGGATAGCCCACGCCAGCTCAGCAGTCCCTCGCACAGCGAGTAAAACTCCAAAACCGAGAACGGTCTGCGGCCACAGAACCCGGAAGCTGTCACGCCAGCTGAGACCGAGCCGATCGCGGTTCTGCCCATCCCATGTGATGGACTTGCCCTTGAGTAGACCACACAAGAATAGCGCAACAGCCAGAGCTGTGATCGGTGCAATGAAGGTCATCAGGAATAACTCCACAAAAGTTGAGAGGATGCAGCGAAAACTACCACCATAGCGCCTGGAAGACGTTGTCACCGCCTCGAAGACACCCGCAAGTTTGGGGAATATGCCGAAAGCAGCGAGAGCAAGGTGCGGAGTCCAGCCAAAGACGAGGCTCATTTGAATGACACTAGGTTCTCCTATGACTTCCTTCGTGATGCATGCCAAGGTCATGAAGACGCAGCAAGCCTGGCCAATGTACGTGGTCAAGGTCTGGTACACCTGAAAGCGGCTGATTGGATGAATGCCAGGTTCGCTCAGCATGAACCAGTACTGCATAGTTCCCTGACACCAGCGTAGTTCGCGACGAAGGAAGTCGAGAAATGTAGGCGGATTGGCCTCGTAGCTTTCCGTTTCGATAGGCAGCACCCGGACCTCGTAGCCGCCTCGGCGCATGAACATTGCTTCCAGCAGATCGTGACTGAGGATGTAACCACCCAGCGGCGGCTCTCCAGGGAGCTTCGGCAGCATGCAATGCTTGTGGAAGGCATCAGTACGGATTATGGCGTTGTGACCCCAATACAGCGCGCAGTCGTGAGCCCACCAGCTGAAGCCCATGTTGTATGTTCGCACCCCATGACGCAAGCCGAACTGGAAGAGCCGTGTAAACGCGCTGACCGCAGGCATACCGATGACTATGGTCTGCAATAACCCGATGAGGGAGTTCTCTTCCATGCTAGAAACCAGCCGGACGAGTATGTCGCCGCTCATAGCGCTGTCGGAGTCAAGGGTGACGAAGAAGTCGTCCCCTTGGGAGTGGTTGTCGAGGTAATCCTTGAGGTTGCCAGCCTTGTATCCGGTGTTTCTATCACGGCGTCGATAGAACAGAGGCTTAGCCATATCCTCGCTCAGAGATACGGCATGCTGAGCAAATACCCCCTCTTCCGATCGCGCTACGTCAACGTGGTCGGTGTCGCTAAGTAGCACAAAGCGAAAGTGCTCGAGGCAATTGGTTTGCTGAAGGCTCTCATACATGGCGTAGAGGCGGTCGAGCACTGGACCTGGATCTTCGTTACGCATGAAAATCGTGAGCGCTGTCGTAGACCTAAGCTTCGACAGAGGTCCTCGAGGTCGAAAATATGGGTAGACGGATCGCTCTGCGTTGCCGAACAAGATGATACATAGGCCAATTGCAGAGTTCCAGAAGCTGACAATAGGCCATGGAATGCAGATAGTTCCGCAAAGCACAATGACTGTGTCTAGCAGAGTGTGCTTGCTTCGCACGAATACGATGAAGTTGATCCAAAGGAACGGGAGGATGGTGATACTGTTAAGGGCTATAACCAAAAAGCGGCGCTGGGAGACTGACATCCAAGCCTCGCGATTTGAGGCCACGACACACATCTTGCGTTTGAGGTATGTTGAGTCGATCCGATGTGCGTGACCTAATGCCGTATCAATAGCTATTGAAAACTTTTGCAAGTCTCAGCTGGGTCCAATATGGAAACTGGGAAATCAAATACTTCAGTTCGAAGGCCCGTAAGAGTCGAGAATGGATTCACGGGCATTTATGGAAGTAAGTTCAGAACTCCGACTGTCGGTTATCTTGTCTTACAAGTCTGAAATCGGGAAGGCCAAATTTTGCACCCAGATAGCTTTCATGGCAAAGGAGGAAATGGGAGACAGAAAACAGCTGTCTGACTCTTTCCGCTGGGGGCTCGGCGCCGCCGCGAGCGAGGACAGCCCCTCCCAGCAAGACTTCTGACCAAGCGCGGTATCTAGGCCTGGGACTTCGGATTACCGGAGTCCAGCATAGATTGTCAACCCGTACCATATACGCTCAGACTCATCTGCTTTGTGGATACCAATCACCTTCCATCAATGGATACTCGGACATCTCGGGACGCTGCTTGTAAGAAGTCACTACGATCTAACATACCTAGGTGAACGGGATCAACAAGTTCCCAACGCCGCGTATCCAAGGGTGAACGTCTAAGCTCACATCAACTTGGAGAATCCTGCAGTCTTCTGAGCATATTAACAGTCACGGGAATATACAAATCATCAACGCTCCGAGGCCATATTTCCTTGACGACGGAGTGGTACAGCATAGTGTACAGTATACACCTTTCAGAAACCAAGGCCGGGCTGGAGCTGTCAAGCCGTACAGTTAAGCTTTTCCAGTGTAACTCACCTGAAGCTTGGAATGAAGATGGCAATCTCTTGTGTACTACTAATTACCTCTACCCGGTATTTTGACACCTGTCATCTCGCACTAAGTCAAGTCCGCCTATCACTTAGTGATTCGCTTCATAGCCCAAGGAGCACCATTCGGCATCATAAAGAGCCCGACCTCGCCGCTTGGACACTGAGTATTAAGGTTCCCAAATTACAATTGACTTTCGGCTACCTAGTTATCTACTGGCTATGCCCCCCCACCCTTCCGGTGGGATACCGACACGACGCTTGAATACGTGCATGATTGACTTATAAAATTGTTTTCAGTCCTTGCTATGAAGAGGAAATAAACAAGTGAGCTGGTGGCAATTAGCCTTTTCGTACTGCAGGAATCCATTACTCTGAAGAGCTCTTCATTCTTGGCTCGACTGTTAGTCACTCATTTTTTTGAGATGCACTTTCTTAAGTCTCTTTGCACAGCCAGCTTAGCTGCCGTAGCTACCTCTACATATGCGGGTAACCTTAATTATGGCTCTCCCTCACTCCACCACCCGTTCCTCGGTATCTCTATTCGCAAAGTAGCAAGTCGATCTGAGGGTAGTTCGCCATGGACACCGGAGCAGCTGAATTTCACACACGGCGTAGCATCTGGTGACCCGTATGACGACAGCGTTATCCTCTGGACTCGTGTTGCACCAACCCTGGATAATGACCGCAGCAACGTGACTGTTGAGGGCACCGCTCCAATGTACGCTCATGACAACGACGTCTTCGTCAAGGCAAGCAAGTCGCCAATCTGCGTTGACTGGAAGATCGGGAGGTCTGCATCCATGGATGGGCAACCGATTAAGTCAGGGACGGCTTATACGAGTTCGGATGTTGACTTCACCGTCAAGGTTAGTTGACGCGTATTACGTAGACGCCCAAAGCTTCGATCACTTACTCTACCACAGGTCGAAGCAAAGGCTCTCAAGCCATTCACGGTTTACTGTTGGTTCAGCAACCTAGGCCGAAAGACGTGATCTAACGCAAAGCAGATTACCAGTTCAATGTCTGCAATTCCGATGTCAAGTCCCCTGTCGGCAGAACTCGAACCCTGCCGGAGTCGGGTACGAAAGTGAGACGGGCAATCAAGCTAGCTGTCTATAGCTGTGCCAACTACCGTGAGCTATTCGCTGAACTACATGTTAAAACAATGTAGTTATGTTATCCAAGCTAACGTGTTTGCATTAGCATTCGGATTCTTCAATGCCTACGGGAATCCCGAGCGGAAAGACTCCGTGGACTATATCGTCCACCTCGGCGATTATATTTACGAGTATGGGAACGGCGAGTATCCCGTCGGCGGCTTAGGATGGGGAAATTCTATAGGTCGCGTCCCCGAGCCCAATCGCTCATGTCATACGTGCGTAAAATCTTAACGCCTATCTATTGAACGATTCATGACTGATTCAAGTCACCCTTAGGCTCTACGATTACCGACGACGCCTTGCCCAGTACCGCAGCGACCCTGACCTTCGCGCTAGCCATCAAAAGTTCCCCTGGATAACTGTCTGGGATGACCACGAGGTGATGGACAACCCCTACCGAGACGGCTCCGCAGCAATGAACAACACCGAACAGTCATTTATCAAAGACGACGGCATATCTGTGGAAGCGCGCAAAATGAATGCTGTGCGCGCATACTTCGAATGGAGTGAGTCCTAACCGCCTCACGACACAAAATCTCCCAGCTGTCCACGCTGACATTGCCTGCTCCCACAAGTGCCCCTCCGTCAGGTTGATATGGACGACAACCTGCGCATCTGGCGTAGCTTCCAGTTCGGCGACCTCTTCAATCTCATCATGCTCGACACCCGCAACTACGATCGCTCCATCACCGACCTATACTGGAACACAGGCTACGTTCATACCATTAGTGATGATACCAGCCGCTCGCTGATGGGCTCTCGCCAAGAAAACTGGTTCTACCGTCAGCTTATAGAGTCAGCCTCGACAACACGGTGGCGTGTCGTTGGTAACCAGGTAGTCTTCAGCAAGATGAACCAGAGCATCTCCAATGGACCCAAGAACCCGTTCAACTACGACCAGTGGGACGGTTACGCTGCTAACCGAAACCGGACGCTCAAGACGCTCTACGATAACAGCATCGACAACACAGTGTTTTTGGCCGGCGATAGTCATGCATCGTGGGTCAGTGACCTTGTCTGGCTTGGCGAAAAGGACTACAATTCGGAGACTGGGGCCGGTTCCATCGGGGTTGAGTTCGCCGGCACAGCCGTCACCTCGCCTTCATCGGCGGGTCAAAATATCACCCAGGAGAAAGCTCTTAACAGAAGCGCTTGGATGACCGCTGCGAACCCAGAGCTGCAGTGGCAGGAGTACTACTACCGCGGCTACTTTGAGATGACCATCGACTACGACGCAGTCAACGCTACCTTCTTTGGGTTGCCCACTTACGCCACGAGGAACGGACTCGAGATCGCGCTGGCAAATTTCACGGTCCTCGCTGGGGAGAACAAGCTACGGCGCCCCGTTGGTGGAGGCAGCGTGGAGTTTGGGAACCTGAAAGGCGGCGTCACGAAGCAGACTAACTTGACCAATGACACTAACACTGGAGAATGGTCCGTGTTTGAGAGTTCGAGGCTAGGCTAGGAAGACCAGTTTCAATAGACATCTATTAGCTCACGCAAGAGCGGAGTGGTGCTCAGCGCAGGTACCCGTGGCCAGTCCGAAAAGCCACAGAAGTAGTTCTACGTGGGTTAGAGAACCCAATAGCAATGCTGCAGACGATGTTGACAGTACTTTTTGAGCAGGCGTTCATGTTACGGCCAATAATACTAAGTCTGCGAGCCTTACCTACGTGAAAATAAGGTGGCATTGAGATATCGAATCTATTTTGAAAGCCCCTACCTACACCTATCTAGCGTGGTACAAAAAATACATGTAAAACTACTTACTGTTGCATTTACTCATATATTTGAATTTATAGTGTATGTGTTAAGGAAAGCTTCACGGTCCAGCTGTGGCCTTGGCTAAGTTGATCGGTATTGATGCGGCGGAGGATTTTCACTGATTCATTGCATTCTGTGGTAGGGATGATTTCTATGGTCATTGTCTGAATCCATGATTTCTATATTCTTCTTCATAACAGAACGTATATGTACCACGTGCCACTGATGATTGACACAATCTTACATATTGAGCGGTTGCATAACCAAGTCAATGGAGTTTCATGGCCCAGCTGCCGCCTACAATGGTCTTTGATCCAGCTTTATGGATTGAAGAAAGTTTCCCAAAGTCTTCTCGATGCTGTCGCGCTCAAAATCGAACTTGTAACGGTCCACATTCTCAGGCGCATAATTGACCGCGTGCACACCGTCTTGCAGTGCCAGCCATGCAGCCAACAGCGCGCCTTCCATGTTCCAAACATTTTCTTCCTCGGCAGTTTTGAACAGTAGATTATCGTGACCCTGATCAAGCCCCTGGGCTATGAAAGCTTCAGTATGCTGCTTCCACCAATCCGTATAAGCGTTAAACCACGCTTCGGGATATCTCTCTTTCAAGTCGTCGTCATCGAAATTATCGCCCCCTTCAGGGTTTGCGGGCCACCCATAGGTGTACCACATGAAATTGGTTCCGTAGTCTGGCCAAATGGAGTATTTGTATCCTGGCAGGGAAGATTTGTGTTTCTCCTGGGGTTCTGGCCGTTCGTTCAATTGAGATTCAGGGTCTAGTTGATCTTCCGACTCCAGGGGTTCCTCTTTGTGTATTTGGAGTAAAGGCGTATCTGCTGGCGGCTCATGGACGGAATCTTCCTCCTCTACCTTAGATAGGGGCTCGGAGATGGCCTGAGTGACTGGAAGTTGGGACTCGGCCGGTGCCGTAGGGGTGGCAGACAGCGGGTCTTTGTCCTCCGCCAAGCGAACTTGAAGAGAGTCGCCTGATAGTGTCACGTAACAGGGATAGTAACCACATCTCACGAAGTGCCCGTTACGTGCTAAATCACGTGTCTATCTTAGATATCGTATATATAAACTTTTTTTTTTATTTATTTTTATTTTAATATATTAAGCTACTTTTACTATACTCCGTATACTTATTATTATATACTATAATTCGTAATAATTATAAGCTTAGCTCTTAATTAAGACCCTATATTACGATAACGTACTTATTAATACGATTTTTATAATCTTTTTAAAATAATAAATATACTTATACTAACTTTAACCTAAGCTAAATTAACTAGTTATAATAATTAGATTAAATAGTTTAATATACTTTATATTATAAATAAGGGCGTCGGGGTTTAAAAGTACGTCGACCTAAATATTTTAAGTTTTAATATACTCCTCGACCCTTTTATAATACTTATTTTACTTTTTAAATTTAGATAATTAGTTATAACCTATAATAAAAAAGAATTACGAGCTTATTAAATACGTTATAAAGTATTTAAAAATAACTAAAGAAATTAGGAAATTTTTTATTAATAGCTTTTAAATATAACTCTTAATATAACCCCTTTAACTTCTTTAAATATAAATAACTTATAGGACTGAGTTAGGTTTTTTTTTATAAAACTAACTATACTACTTATTTTATATAAATAAATCTATCCTTATACTATACCTATAAAAAGGATCTATATACTTAAGAATATTTAGAAATAATAAAAAATCTAAGCTAAATATAAATAATTTAAAGCTTAAGAACGTAATATTATTAATATATATATTAAACTCTTTATTTAGTAATTAGTAAAATTAGTTAACGCTACTTTTTATAAATACGTATTTTAAAAAGCTATTAAAAACGGTACTAAGTTTAGTATATAACGAATTATTAAATATTTAAAATAAGAATTTATATTTTTTAAAGTAGTAGTTAGGAATGTAGTTTAAAAAGAATATTAATAAGATTTTAATAAAGTAAGGATTAGAATTAACTTTTAATATTAGTATAAAGAGTAGTAGTTTACTTATTTACGAACTAAGACGTACAATATTTTAAAAATTAATAAAAAAATCGCTATATTCGACTTCTTAATTATAATTAAGTTTAAACTTAACTTTATATAAGGTTAATATATATATAAAACTTTTAATAAATTAATAGCTTTTAAAACATATACTAGAACCCTTAAAAAAATTACGTATATATTTAGTTTAATAACTTAAGACGTATATACTAAACGGCCTTTAAATTAAAGAGGGGCTTATTTTACTTTTATTAAACGCTCTAACTTAGTTAATAACGTAAATAATAAAAGTAACGTTATATACTTTTATAATTATATATACTTATAGTACCCTTTAGTATATTAAAAATTGAAATAAGTATTTATAAACTAAAATATTAATAAGTTATTAATATAAATATTAAAAAACTATATAAAAACAGTCCTTCTTATTATTAAATTAAATAAGTAAAAATTATTTTATAATAAGCTTAAAAAAGTTAGTTAGCTAAGGAATAATAAAATTCTTAAAAAACTTAGGTTTTTAAAAAGATCCTCTAACTAATTTATAGCGAGCTTATTAATAAACTAAGATAAGGGCTACATAGTTACTATATTTATAAAGAGTTAGGATTTAAAAATAAATATAATTTTTAATACCCCTATAAATAATACTTATCCCCTCTCTTAGAGTATAATAATAAATAGCTATAGAGTAATATATTTAGTTAATAATAAGAGCCTATTTAAATTTAAAAATTACGTATTATTAAGTAATAATAATTATATTAAATTAAGAACTACTATATTACTTATTATTATATGTAGTACTTATATTATAAAGGGCGTTTTAAATAGATTTAAAGAGAAAGGAACTTACGATTTAAAGCTCTAGAACGTTACTTATATTAAAAGATTTTATATTAATATAATTTTAGAAACTTTATTAAATAAAAGCGTACTCTAATACTACAATTTAGATTATACTTTATAATAAGGAATACTTTATAAGAGTACTATTAAAAAGTAGCTTATTTAAAAAAATAATCTAATCTTTTTTAAATATAAGCTCTTTAAATTTTATCCTTTTTTTATAAACTTTAAGCGTATTTTATAGAGCTTAGCTATTATTATATTACTAATTAGCTATAGAAAATTTTATTATTTATATTAATATACTTATAAGAGGTCTAATAATACGCTCTTTTAATACTTTAAAATAGGTTATTTTAGACCTAATACTCTTTATTAATTACTATATAAGACTTAAAGTATACGTATTAAACTTTTATTATAAGTTAAATATAAAGTATATATATTATTTAATATTAAAATAGTAATCTCTAGAGAACTACCTTTAAAAAGAGCCTTACGGCTATAGTACTATATATACTAAGATCTTTTTTATTTTAAACTATTTTTTAGTAAATAATAATATATACTTATAGTTTTTAATAAATATAATAGATAGTTTAGGGGTTTTTCTTTAAGGACTAAAATAGAAAAGGAAGTGCTTTTTGTACTATAGAGCCTCGAGGTAGCTATTTATTATTAAAAAGGGACTTTAATTTATTTTTTTAAAAATAATAATAAGACCGCTTTTTTAATTATAAATATTAAATATATATATAAGACGTAGTATAGTGAGCTAGAAATCGGAATAGAACTTTTACTTTTATATATAAAAGAACCCGTAAGTAATATAAAAAAAGTAAGTTAACTTATAATTACTAAAGCTCGTAAAATATGCTTTTTTACGAACCTCTTTACGAATTTATAAAATAAAATAGTATTAGTAATAATTTTTATTTATAATATTATTTTATAAGAGGCTAATAAAGGAGATTTGCTTATTATAATAGAAATTAACTAGTAGAAGTAGTATTAACGTTAGTAATAAATAGGTTATTAAGTACGGGATTTTAAATTAGTAATCCCGTACCTTAGTAGTCTTTATATATATAGTTACTAAGTATACCCTTTTTATAGGGATTATAAGAGGGGTATATATTAAAAAGAGTTTAAAGTACTTCTTTATAAGTATATAAGATATTTAGTTAGATATATATTAGAAACGTATAACTTATATAAGGTTTAGGTACCCGTACTTAAGTAGGTATTTATTATAAAAAATATTAGGTTTAATAAAAAAGTTTTTTATAATCCTATATATAAGGAGTAAGCTATTATAAATAAGTAAGTAAATTTAGTAATCTAAAAGATATAAGAACTTTTTAATACTAATAATAAGTTAGTTTAAGTATTTAGAGAAGTAAATTTAGACTTCGGAAATACTAATATTTAAAATAATTTTATAGTTAAGGATAGTATTATTATTAAATTTTTAACTGTTTAGGACGCTAAGTAATTAATAAACGTACTCTAAGGTATAGTTAATAAGGTTAAAGAGGTAAATATAATTTTATTATTATTATTAACCCTTAAAATAACCCCCTTATATAAGCTCGGGGGTAGGGGTAAAGAAGGGAATATAATAACTAGGTTATAAACGGCTCTACGTAGTTTATAATCTTTTTTATAAATATTTATATATATTATAGAGGTTTTTAAGCTTTTAATTCTTAATAGTTTTTAGTAAAATACTAAAGTACTAAAAATATATAGAGTATAGAGGACTCTCGTAGTACGGTATTTTAAAAAAACTACTAATACTTATAAAAGTAATATAAAATACCTTTTTTAATCAGGTTAATATAGCCTTAATTAATAAAATTATAATTAAGGAAAGAGGATAGTATTAATTAGATTAGAAAGGTAGACTTCTTAATTATTTTATATTATTACGTTTAAAAATAAATTATTAAAAAGGTTTTAGTTTAATTTTAAAAAAGTATATATATAATTAAAATAAAAATTCGTACTATCAAACTCTTTATTTCTAATCGGGGCCTTTTTTTTTATATTTTTTTTTTAATTAGTCCTCTTATAAATACTTATACTTAATTAGCTTTAAAAAAGAATTATTAAAACTAATTACCTTACCCTATTTTAATTATCCTCTAATTTTTTTTTTTAATCCTTTATAAAAAGAAATTATTTTAAATTAATTTTAATTATTATATATAGTTAATTATATTAAGCTTTTTATTTACTTTTTTTTTTATAACTACTTTGTTTACTTTTTTTATTTTTTTATTAGTTTTACTTAGTTCTTATTCTATTCCTCCCTAATAATTTCCTAATCTTAACTTTTACTACCCTAGTTCTTTTTAGTTTTTTTTATTAATAATAGTATTTAAAGAGTATAGACTAAAGTTATATATATAGCTTTTATAATTAGGTCGTTATATTAATTAATTTATTATTCCCTTATATTCTTATTAATATTAATTTTACCCTTATATATATTATAATACTATAAGAAGTCTTAATAAAACTTAACTAGTTCTTAATATTAATATTTATTATTTTTTTATATAGCCCGATTATATTTAAAAAGTATATATTTAATAACTTCTTATTTTAACTAAACCCTTAGTATTTTAATTAAAATCTTTATAATAAAGCTATTCTTATCCCTAATTAAAATATTTAAAAAACTACCTTCTTAATTACTTAAACTAGCTTTATTAAAAGCTAGATTAAAGTATAATAATAATTTAAATAATAATATATTTAATAAGGATTACGTAACTTAATAAGTTTTAGGGGTATTAATTAGGTATATAAGTTAATTATTAATAATAATATCTAGACGCTAGTTAGTAGCCTTTATTAATTTAATTACTTATAGAGTTTAATTAGGGTTATTATTTATTAAAGATCCCCGAGTATTCTTTAGTATTTTTAAAAATTAAAATAATAAGAGTAATTTTTTAAGGGTAATAAGCCCTTACTTAAAGTTTTTAATTATTCCCTTTATTTTTTTAAAATATATAAAATCGATTAGAATATAATAATTATAATTATAAAAGTTATAAATTCTTAAATCTTAGTTAGTAAATCTAAAACTAAATAAGTAAGGACCGGATTTTTAGGGAGTTAGTGCTTTAGG